TAACTAATAAAAAGCCCTTTTTTTTTTCAAGCCCTCCATCCCAGCGATGGTGAGTGAACTGCTACAGCAGCATTATACAAACCCCGCTGTCGGGGCCATCAGCACTGATGGACTGACTGTGTACGTCAACACCTAAGTGTCATAAACTGTGTTACAAAACTCGGTTACAGATTTTACGCAGGGACGCTGGACCCCATTTCCTGCAGGTGCAGCTCCCCACCAATGGATGGGGGCCTCCAATGACACGGACACTACTAGGTGGGGCTGCTCATATCACTCCCCCTAGCAGAGGTCACCGGTGCTTTCTCCCAAGACAAATAAAGAACAAAAAATAAAGAAAGTATTTTTTGGAAAATACAAAGTGATTTTTTATTTGCATGAATGGATCGTTTTCTGATTTAAAATGAATTGAAATAGCACATAAAAGTATGAAGAACAGCTGTGCACCCGAATTCATGGGTTGGTACGATCTCCTTGACGTAAGTCTTCATAGTGATGTACGTTGGCAATAAAATGTGTCCACAAACACAGCCACGAGGATGAACAAGTAATGGCTATAGGGATACATTCATCCCCATGTATCTCATGATGCCTCTAACAGGCCATCCGACAGACGCGGAAGAGTTCCTGTCAGATCCACCACAATACCTGAATTTCACATTTCAAGTTCTATTTCTCAGAGCCAAAAAAAAAAAAGAACGAAGTCTGGAAATCAACCCCCCACCTTTAGAGCCCATAAAATCCAGACTTCCCGCCCACGCAAAGCCACGAGCTATCATGTCCAAGTTAGTCCATTTTTCTTTTTTTTTTTTTTTTCCGCCGCATCGGTTGCGATGCGCGGTGCGGTGCGCGAGGTGCGCCAGATTTGCGCTGAGGCGCGCACCTCAATGCGCCGCAACTATGATTCACACTCTTGAAGGATTTTTTTCTGCATATATCCAACTACAATTACAGAAAGCCGTGGATGTATTTGACCCCCGACGAGTCCCTAGAGTGAGTTTGCCCTCATGCTCAGTTTTTCCATAAAAAGAACCCAAACAAATTATATTAACATCAATCAATGCCAATAAAAAACTCCCCATGTTCCTGTGCAGCCACCCTTTCGTGTTTCTTAGTTACACGGGTTGACTGTGGAACGGACCTTTTCGGATTGCCCCACTTCCCTCAAACCCCACACGGTGTGATCTGGTTTTGGTTCCTATACATTCAAATTTCAAAATGTTTGGCACAGTCCGAATGTGTATATCCCGTCAGTCCAGATACATTGAGCAAGGCTCGTCAGAGAGAAAGAAGGGTTCATTTCTGAGGAGTTTATACGATGATTATGATCTCAACGTCCAGCCTGCGTTCACCGGCACTCACCGCATCAAATCTTATGAGTGTAACGAACAAACGGATGTCGGCCTCCGTCAGTGTGTTTCCAGTCAGGTATCTTTGCTTGGACAGAATTTCTTCGCAACGATCCAAAGCATTGAACAGTCTTCCAAAAGCCTGCAACATCCCACATGCACCCAATCCCAGGCCAGTTAACACAGCGCTAGTCCCGAAGAGAAATCAAGAGGACACAAAATCAGAGGATAGACTTCAGTCAATATTTCCCAAAACCTTCCAATGCCAAGACCACAGTGTTCCATACCACGACCGTTGGCACCCCTTGACTGGTCGGCTGGTCGGCACCTACCAGTCGGGAGTCGTCGGCACCCCACAACAACATATAAACTCCGACGAAACAGTTTGTCACAGCCCCTCGTTTGTTGTCCTCTTCTCTCTCTCTGCCTACGGTTTACCGGGCAGTTCTATTTGTGACGATATATATGACGATANATCCACCACAATACCTGAATTTCACATTTCAAGTTCTATTTCTCAGAGCCAAAAAAAAAAAGAACGAAGTCTGGAAATCAACCCCCCCCCTTTAGAGCCCATAAAATCCAGACTTCCCGCCCACGCAAAGCCACGAGCTATCATGTCCAAGTTAGTCCAACTTTTTTTTTTTTTTTTTTTTCCGACGCATCTCATTGGACGGGAGGTGGGCATCTTTACAGTCCCCGCTTGGAAACTACCACGCCGTCGAGATCTGATGTATTCGACGGCCGTACTGAGTCACTCGATGCCACACATGATCGAAATCCTGAACGGCGTGGTAGAATACCTTGCTAGTGGGTCCAGGCCCCTGCTGGCTTTATTCAAAAAAAAGAAAAGAAACGAAAAAAATAATAAAAAAAAATACACAGAAGATACACAATTAAGGGGCGTAGAGCAGAGGTTCTGATTGGACGTGACGATTGGCGGCGACTTCGACTTCAGTCCGCAGTTCAGGAATGGAACCTCACCTTGGTTCTTGAATAGGGCCCAGTAGTGGGGCTAGCTCGGATGGCACTTCGCCATGATGAGTACTCTTTGCTATATACGGATAGTAGCCTAGAGCACTCATCGCACTTTGTTTTTCCACTTCGCCGCTTGCCGCACACGCCAGGCTGAGTGGCACGTTCCTGCACGGTGAGCGACAAGCTGTGAGTTTCATCTGGAGGTTTTTCCCCGTCCCACGAGGAAAAACGTTACTTTTCAGGGGTAAGTACCCGAACTAAAGACCGAATGAATTGAGTGGGAAAATGGGCAGGGTGCATAGGGAAAGAAATAGGAAGGATTGGGCTGTGTGCGGAGTAGGAATTGTGGTTGAAGGGAAATGATGAAGTCTCTTACTTGGAAGCCCTACCGGCTCGATTGAGGCAGCGCCTCGAATGAGAAGCGAGAGCCCACTGCGAAGAATCGCTTCGACGTAGGCTAGAGTTAAGTTACTCAGTATTCAGTCGAAAGACGGACTAGGTACAGACTCTCGACCTTTGCGGTAGTACCGAAATCGCTCGGGCGATAGTGTGGCAAGTTCTCGACCGGTAACTACTTAGGCGAAAGGAAGGAAATCTCAGTCCTTTTGGGTCTTTCAGCGGCAGGCTTCGGCCGGCCGCGCTGCACGAATTCGGTAAGGTAAGAGCGCATCACTTATGCTTGGAGATTGAGCTATGGAATGGAAGGAAGGACGGCAGGAGGATTGAGGAAACTTAAGACTTTGAAGATCAGGATGGTGAGATACTCCAAGGGAGGAAGATGCGGGGTAGTATTGGTCCAGGTATGCGTGAGTTTGCCTTGAACTCGGGTATCGAGTTGGGTTTTGGGGAAGATTCCTAGAAAACTCGGAGTTGCGCCGTGCGAACACCACAAAGGGAAGCGCAATCGATAGGGAATACGGATCGGAATTTGATCGCGTTCGATTAGAGGTGAGGAAAGGAGGGTTGGAGTTCGCGTTTAGAGGAGGGTAGAGACGCGGACGGAATCAAACGATGGAGATTGATTAGAGATATCGAGTGAGGGCGCCTAGGGAACGGCAACTTGATTTGGACAATTGGTAAGACTTGGCGTCACCGAAGTGATGAAGCAGTCCTCTTAAGCGATCGAAATCGATCAATTATTTTCGGTCGGTGTGAATTGGCATCGTCGGTGGTTCGTCGCTCTCTCTCTCTCTCCCTTTCTCCTTCTCCATCTCTCTCTCCCTCTCTCTGGCTCTATGTGAGTAAGTGTATGTACAAATGCGGCGAACGAGTAGGAGTATGAGTGCGTGCTTGCGTGAGTGTGAGTTAAGGGTTAGGAAGGAGAGTTTGAGTTCACGGATAGAGGAGTAATGCGAACGAAATTGCTCGCCAGAGAAGGACGATTAACGGCGAGATTAAGCAAAGGCGCCTCAACTACGATTGCCTGCAGCGTCGACAGGAACTGGCGTTGAGAGAAGACTGTCCGTAGAGAAACGGCTCCTGTCGTACTGATCGACTTCGGAGAAATTTAGGGAAGTCTAAACGAGATCTGATCGAGGCAAGGAATTGGATCCTTCGGCGAACGGCCTCTGAATGGCGCGCAGCCGGGAAGGTAAGTACACACTAAGAGGACACGAATGAAAATATGGTGGGATGATGATGGCGGGAGAAAATGATTTCCTCAAGGGGATCATTTAGTAAGTTTTGCAACTTCGAGCGAAGGGAGGATCTGGGTTAGCGGAGGTATGCAAGATCGTTTAGAGGTTTGGAATTCTCTGGGAATCAGAAGTCGCACGGGAGCTCACTTCGAAGGAGGGTTGATGCAATAGAAGATTAGGGGATTTGAACGTGGAGGGAGATCAAACGAAGGGAGCAAGACTCGTAGAAGGTCGATTGGAGGAAGGATAGCGATGCAATCAGAATCAAACTTTGGAAAGAAGGTAGGTAGGGTCGGTCGTCGGCGGGAAACGATTGAAAGCACCTTGGGAAGGACCGCCTGCGAGGAAGATCTGATCTAGCGCTATGAATACAACTGCGCAGAGGAGTAAACAACTCTGATTGGGCACAAGGTGAGGGAAGCTTCCGGGATAAGAACGAAGAAGAGCGGAAACTAATATTCAAACTTTAATAAGGGAAAAGGGGATGCTTGCCTGAGTGGAGAAAGGCTCAGGGCGAGGACTAGCGGGAACCTGCAACCGCCGAGGACTCGAACTTAAGGAGTCGGCGAAAAAAAAAAAAAAAAAAAAAAAAAAAAAAAAAAAAAGGGAAGGAAACGCTGAAGGTTTGATAGATATTAGACTGTAGAAAGGCATTTTGGCGAGAAGGCGGAAAGGGAAATGACCTAACACCTCTTCGAATCAAAGATGGGTGGTAAGTGAAGAAAGATGTGTGGTTGTATCTGACCCATCTGCACGACTGGGGTTGAGGAGAGGTAGTAACTACGAGGGATTGAGGTCAGTTTGCAACGCTTACTCTCAGGTCTGAACTGGAATCTGATCTGAACGATCCATCGGAATAGGACGATGAGAGCGAAGTCTTCAATGTGAGGAGGGATCGGAGATCGGGATTAGGTCGAATCGCTCGAAGGACGGATTAATCAGGAAAGCATCGAAAATGAATTTTGTTTTGAAAGAAAGGGAGTTCTGACGATATAAGATCAAGGGAGAATTTGATAGTCTCCATTAGCTGGAAAGAGGTGAAGGAAAGGAGAGGGAGACTGCAACCTTTTCTATTCAGTTTCTATCTCGTTTTTTGGCAATGATGATGAATTTGGCCTTTGCGGTAGGAGGGGGAGTTGGAGATTGGAGTACTGTTGTTCCAAGACCTGTTGTCGACGTTTATGGAGAGGAGGTGGGGGAGGTCTTAGTAAGGGCGTTGGAGAAAATGAGTGTGATGGATAAGGGGATGAGCTCCAACCTCGTGTTTGATGCAGAACTGTCCAAACTGAGAATTTTGGATCGTGTAAATGGAATGCTCTTACCACTCGAGAGAGCAAACATCTTTCGCAATTGGACCGGAGAGAAATTGCGAGCGAGTTTCGAGAGAGAACACAGGCTTGGGTCGAGTAAAGGATTAGATGTCCTATTCGAATTTTTTAACCGTAATGCTTTCTGCGTCGTGGAAAAGTTGAGCAGCAGGGGGAGAATTTGGGTGGTCGAGAGAGGAATGGTGGAGAGAATGCTCGACCATTGGATCCTCGGCGAACCAATTGCAGGATTCGCTGTGGCAAAAAAATTTGGGAAGTCAGTGGACGAATTGGTGGAGGGAGAGTTGGTTTTGGTAAAGGAATCTTGTGAGGCCGAATCCAAGGCTTGGAAGGGGAAAGGAAGGTGGGAATTTGTGGCAGTGGGATTGATCATCGCTTTCGCCGGAAGCTCAAGGAAGGAAGTGGTTTCTGGCCTCCTGAAGGGAATGAAGGCAATCGAATGGGAAGGGTTTGGAATTTTGCAAGTCATAATGCTCATCAAGAAGACTTTGAAGGAAGCCAAGAAGGAAGAGAGAGAGACGATTCGGATGGAGGATCTGTTCAAGTTTGGAGAAGGGACTTGGATTACAAACCTTGGATGTAAGAGGCTCGGGAAGGACTTCAACTCCATTTTCGCTGGAGGTGGAGGAGCCAACTTAAACTTTGTTGTCTCATGGCGATCTGTGACTGAACGCCCGGTGCCAAATGAACGTCCGATCTTCATCCCTCTTCAGACTCCATCGGAGCAGGAGGAGGAGGATCACGGAGGATCTTGTCGAAGACGTCAGATTTCTGAGCATTTTTGCTCACCTCCTCGAAAACTGAGTCCTCCTAATTCACCCCCGGAATCTGGACGATACCTAGATGTATCTTAGGATTTTTCTCGCCTCATTCTATTTTAAGCCTTGTTGGACTCTCCTAATGAATTTTGTCTTTCATTGACGCAATTAATTAGGACCTTCTTCCTTTAAATAACTAAATGGTTAAAGTAGAATATGTTGCAAGGTCTAGAAATCTCACAAGGAAGGGGGAGGGAAGGAGAAAGGGAAAGGGTGAAGAAGAGGAAGGAGGAAGTGCAGAGCAGAAGGGTAGGCGCAGGCAAGTTGTTTAGGCTTCAAAGACCAACTAAGGAGGAATAAAACTCTCTGTGTCTGTGGAATGGTTGCATCAATGAGTGATTTTAAATTCGCTGCAAAAAGTTACCCCGTTTGGATCTACCAAGGACAATCTAGTTATGACTTTCATCCCTATCAGTCTTCATTTAAAGTAAATTTGTTAAAATCAGCTGAATAAACGACCCTCAACCTATTAAGCCAATTTACGAAGCTTCACTTTCAGCATCAAATTCTCCTTATTATCTTTCCAAAAACATTTGTTAAACTAGCTCCTCAATTATGAATTAAAGGATCAAATTTGTTATGGTTAAGGGACCCAAAAAAAAAAAAAAAAAAAAAAGGGTAAAGGATAAGTGTAAGGGTAAAGGAAGGGATATTCTTATGATAAGGACTACTACCCTGTTCACCTCACTAAAATTCCCTCTATTTCTTAA